AAACAATAATTATTAAAATAAAATATTTTGATTACAAATAAATTAAAATAAAAGATAATAGAGTACAATACTTAATTATTATAAGTCCAAAAAAAGTTTAAATAAAATCAAATTCATACAAGTCTAAATAAATTAAATATTAGTGGGTACGGGCCGGTATTCGTGGGTATGGATACTATGATACTCATACCCCCTATTAACATACGGATATAAAAATATTTGTATCCATTATTCATGAATATTATTTACAATATCCATTTTTTACTCGTTGTGAATTTTACCTAAAGATACTCATGAGTATGAATTTTGTTGACATCCTAGTTATTATATATTAAATAAGATAACTTAAAGAAAATAAAACTTTGAAGTATACATTGTAACTTAAATGGTTTATAAACTCAATAGGGAAGTGAATTGAATTTGAAATGTTCTATGTTGAAGATATAATTATTAAATCAATCTATGCCATTTCTTTAATGAAGAGATTTGATTTATAACGACAACTAATATTCAAGTGTACAATTTTAGAAAATATTGCAAGGTATATCAATTACACAATCAAACTAATATAAATTGCATAAAGGAAATGATTAAAGAAGAATGGACCAAGATATATCCTAATTCAGCCGATAACCACTTGTGAGCAATGTCCAATGCTCAAGCAAAGATCCAGAGTTTCTTTGGCTAATTTGACCAGCAATTTACGATGTTCAATCAAATATAACCAAGCAAAGATCGAGAGTTTCTCCAAAAGAATGTTTTACATCCCAAACACTAAAAGTAAACTTTTGAAAAACATTTTCTGAAAGATAAATAAATTTTTGAAAAGTATATTTTTCAAAAAAAAAAACTTTTAGAAGTTACTTTTTGAAAATATATTTTACACCCAACTCTAAGAATAAAAATATATTTTCGAAAAATATTTTCTAAAAGACAAAAAGTACATTTTTGAAAAGTATTTTTCATAAATATGTTTTTCACTTCCAAATTTTATGAGTAAAAACATATTTCTCAAAAGTATTTTTGGAAAAAAGAAAAATATACTTTCTAAAAGTATTTTTCAAAAATATATTTTTATTGCTCTAAAAATATATTTTAACAATCATAAAGCATAATTTTAGAATAACAATAGTAATAATAAATTTATTATTTCTAATATAATACATCAAAAATCAATAATTCATCTTGTATCCAATTATACAATATTAAAGTAGAATACAAAATTCTAATTTAAAAATTTTTGAAGTTAAGAGTAAAAACAAAATAAAGTTTAAGAAATAATAAATACAAGTTTGTGAGTCTCTTGATTATTTAGAAAAAATAATAAAATAAAATATATAAGAAATAAAAATAAAAATAAAAAAGTATATAGAACGCACTCATTTTGATCCATTTTGATTATAAAAACCTCATTTAGTACTCATGCCCATACTCCCAAGAAAAATATTTATACACTAAATTTATAAATAAAAATAAAAAAATTCACATACTTATAATATATATATATATATATATATATATATATATGAATTAAGGTGTTACAACTGTACTATAATTTTCATTTATTAATACCTTGAAATATGTTAAGATAGAGAATTGTACAAATTTTTTTGTTATGTTGGCAATTATTATATTAGGATATACATGAAGTTTTTTTACAAAGTTATTTTATCTAGGTTTTTGGATATTTATTTACTTTAGTCATATAATATAAATATCGATTACATTATTTTATGATAATTAGTTATAATCATGGAATTTACACATAAGATTCGACCTATTCATGAGTTAAGAAATAAAATACATTTATATCCTAAAATTATAACACTAAAATCATAATAAATTTTATATTAAATTGATGGAAGAGAGGTATTACGTCTCTATTATTTTAAAAAAAAATGTGATTATTAATTAGTTAGATATTTACATAAATTAGAGAAAAAAATATAAGTTAAATAAAGAGAGATAGTGAGAGAGAATAATTTAAAAATTGTTATAATGATAATATCAAAGAATTATATACACCAAATTTAAAAAAATTATATATTACAGACTAAGTGTTAATGTATGTTAAAAAAATTATAATAAAAAAAAAAGATTTTTACATGGCTTTTAATTTCTTATTCTTAAATTTGCACTACAAAAAAAAAAATAGAAAAGAGAATAAATGGGTACCGAAAATAATTTTTTTAAGAAAAAAAGTAAAGAATTTGAAATAAAAATGTGCAAACATATTAAAACTAGAGTGTGATTTATTTCCCTGATGGGTGATCTGGGGAATTAAAAGACCAATTATCTTTTTTCATGGCTTTTAATTTCTTATTCTTAAATTTGCACTACCTAAACAAAATAGAAAAGAGAGTAAATGGATACCGAAAATAAAATTTTTTAAGAAGAAAAACAGAGTTTGAAAATTTGAAATTAAACTGTGTACATGTGAAAACTAGAACTAGAGTAAGATTTATTTCCTGAGTAATTAAAAAAAATTAAAATAAAATAAAACGCTAGAAGGAGGGCTTGAACCTCCGACCTTGTGGTTAACAGCCACACGCTCTAACCAACTGAGCTATTCCAGCCTGCGGTGCTAATGTTTTATTTTATAACTATTTTAAGATAGTTGTATTATTTTTTACTTTGTTTTTTTTTTCTTTTCTCTTTGATTAAAATATTAATTTTATATCTGACATAATACAGTGATTCTTCCATAATAATCTCTTTTAGACATTATGATGGAGAAAGTTAGGAGGAGTGATAGTTGACTTCTCCTTAACTACTCTTTAAACTCGGATCTTCTTCAAAGGAGATTGAACATGAAATGATGAACCAAATAAATTAATGAGAAAAAAATATCAAATAATTTTAATCTTTAATTGCAGACTTGGTTTATACATTAAGAACTTTTAATTTAACAGTTGAATTATTAAAATTTAATACAAAATATAAATTATTAAGTAAAGTAAATCTAAGTAAACTTAATCTTAGAGTAATTTATAAACCCTCTTTATAAATGCATTCATACATATATTATATAATTGTCATTTAAGTAGAATCGACCATGTCATATATGATATTCACTTCTTTTCTTGTTGAAATGCAAATGATTTTTTCTTCTTCATATTCACTACTACAAGAGGAACATTTTACATCGATTCGTTTAGATATTTTACATCAGTTTTACAACCGATGTAGATTCAGGCGATGTAGAATGTGTGAGGCATTCTACATCGGTTCAGAAACCGATGTAAAAAGTCCACAAAACTACATCGGTTCTTGTACAAACCGATGTAATATATTGAACACTTTCTACATCATTTTATCAAAGAACCGATGTAGTATGCCACAACTGAGCTTTGGTGATTAGTTTCTCCACCACACAAATTTTATCACTAAAATTACAAGGATACTTGTTAATAATAGTCCCGGTCACACCTTTATATAATTTAAAAGAAAAAAACTAATAAATATTAAGATTGACTATTACGTATCAATTTTAAATAATATTGTAAGCCACGATCCTGACTTCAATCCAAGAGTTCAAAAGAAATCTTTTTTAATAATTAAAAGTAGAAAAAGCATCAACTAAATAGATAAATATAAAAAGATGAATTCATACAAGTGTTTATTCCAAATTCATACCACAAGTGTGATATCATTCACAGTGACACACAAATGTTTATTTCAAATTCATACCAAGTAAAACTAAACTCAATTAAAACTTGCAAAAAGTGTATCGATGATATCCAAGCCCAACTCAACCTTTATGCCATGGATACAATGTGAAAAGACATATCAATCACATGGGATCTGCAAAAAAAAAAAAAAATTTATATTTGTTAGACATTAGCACTAACATGCTTGATATGTTGGGATTTACTTTTTTTTGCCTAGTTAGTTTTCCTGCACGGGTTGTTCAATATGAAGGTCAAATTAATATATTCCTAGTGTTTTCATCTGTTAGTGCTTCATTGCAGTTATTTTCTTAAGTTTGGCTTGATATTCACTAAGAATTTGGTATTTAACTGAGCTCAATATGATAAGGATTTTGTTGTTGATGTTGATCGTTGGTTTCTTGTAATAAACTAACTTAGTTTAATGAAATATTTTTTTTTGGTTATGAGATATCATGCCTGTGATGTCAAAAGTTCATTCTCGTGAGTGTGTTTGGGACATCCCGCAAAGATAGAAGTTGCAGACATCATTTATTTAGCTTGGAAACAAAGATAGAAGTTTTTTAAAATAAATTTCTTTAGAAGAAAAACCTGTCTCAAATTAGCATTAAATAGGGGTTTTTTTTTTTCCTATTTTATGCTTAGGGAATACATAACAGAACTTTGCTTTTGATTTTTAATATACGAGCAAAGAAGGCTTGAGACTTTGAGCTCTCATAATTTCCATTTAACAACTCCAAACTAATCTTATTATTCATTTTATTCCTATAATGAGTTTTCCAATGTTGTTCACTATTTTATTGGATAAGTTTTCAGCCAGTAACAAGGACACAGTGCAAATCAAATGTCAAATGGAATGGGGATTTTATTTTCTGTATTAAACCTGGTATTAGCGTTGCCTGCGATATATTCACAAATATTTTATGCCAACTAGTTTGAACTGCTCTACTGTTTTATATTTTTGAGACATTAGCACTAACATGCTTGATATGTTGGCATTTACTTTTTTGGCCTAGTTAGTTTGAACTGCTCCCTTTTTAGTTACATGTGCCTTCTAATGACATTTTTGGCATATTCCTAATGTAAATCTAGAAAGCCTGGAGGTGTGTTCTACTGAAACATTACTTGAAAAATAATAAAGTTCCTTATGACTTGAGCTTATAATTATACTGATTTCTCTTTTATTAGAACTTTCTAGCCTTTCACTTTCATCCTAGATATCATCATTGGCATATTAATTTGACTCTGCATATTATGCCTTCTACAAAATGCAGGAAATGGCTAAGATCATACAAGGAATCAAGATATTCTTTCTCATCTATTGAGGACCTGGGAAGTGTGGCTAGTCTAATTAATGATAGAAGTTTATCATTCTTATCGGAGGAATCTAAATCCTTTGAATCGTGTCTATCTTATGGCATATATGAGGTCATTTTTACTCTTTTTCTCTTTGTTATTTTTTATATAGCCTATTATATAGTAACATAGGAAATAAATTTTAGGCAACATATGACTTTTTGAAGCTTTCCATGTCACGAATAAAACAAGGTTGTCAAAATAAAAAATAACTACATTTATTGTTCTCTTGACATTATGTAAATAATATTAGAACTTTTTAAAGTAGAAATTCTATGGTTTCAAGTAAATATTCGCTCAATAGGTATATATATATATATATAAGAAAATATTAAAAGTAAATTTTATTAGGAATAATCATTTTTAAGAACTATTTATACGACATGCTTTTATTACGTCATTAATAACTCTAGCATATTATTAACTTTAATTATAAAATAAGTGAGTGTGTTTTAGAAAAACTCTACAAACAATTATTAATGTACACCTACTTGAATTTTAGTAGAAATATGATAATAAACTATATCATGTATGTATTTTAATTAGGATAATCCTTACTTATAACTTATTAACATGCTCTAATTAACAATAAAAGTATAAGGCAAGGGCTTAACAAGAAGCCACATGTCATCTTTCCTTATCTGTAACCCTTCTACTTCATTAACATGTAAGAAAGTTTTTCATTGTTGCTTAGTAATGAAGACAAATTTGTTTGGTTTTTTTTTTTTTTTTGCAGATCCCATGTGATTGATATGTCTTTTCACATTGTATCCATGGCATAAAGGTTGAGTTGGGCTTGGATATCATCGATACACTTTTTGCAAGTTTTAATTGAGTTTAGTTTTACTTGGTATGAATTTGAAATAAACATTTGTGTGTCACTGTGAATGATATCACACTTGTGGTATGAATTTGGAATAAACACTTGTATGAATTCATCTTTTTATATTTATCTATTTAGTTGATGCTTTTTCTACTTTTAATTATTAAAAAAGATTTCTTTTGAACTCTTGGATTGAAGTCAGGATCGTGGCTTACAATATTATTTAAAATTGATACGTAATAGTCAATCTTAATATTTATTAGTTTTTTTCTTTTAAATTATATAAAGGTGTGACCGGGACTATTATTAACAAGTATCCTTGTAATTTTAGTGATAAAATTTGTGTGGTGGAGAAACTAATCACCAAAGCTCAGTTGTGGCATACTACATCGGTTCTTTGATAAAATGATGTAGAAAGTGTTCAATATATTACATCGGTTTGTACAAGAACCGATGTAGTTTTGTGGACTTTTTACATCGGTTTCTGAACCGATGTAGAATGCCTCACACATTCTACATCGCCTGAATCTACATCGGTTGTAAAACTGATGTAAAATATCTAAACGAATCGATGTAAAATGTTCCTCTGTGTCACCTCTTGCATTCCCAAGTATGATTCCATCACATTAAAAAAAAATATTATTTAATGTCATCGCACCTCACTTACAATATTTTGTAATCCTATTATATTTTGATGAATACATAAATTAACTTTTTTCTACTATATCATGTTCTAACTCAAAATTATTCTCGAGATTAATTTTAACAAATATCTCAATTTCTCAACATGGATTCACTAAAGTGGTTAAGAATTTAAACCAAACTTTCACCTTTTTTTATGAATTTGAATTTGAATCTTCCTATCATTACTTTACTTGTTTGTTGCACAATGCTCTCCAATCTAGAATTTAAGGTCTAGTTAAGTAGTTATAATTGGATAGAACTGTTTGTGGTTTAATCCATATAGCAATCCTCTTGATAGGTTTTTATTAGTAACCTCAGCATGTTATTGACATCTTACTTGATAGTATTGAGATTCTCACTCTATTTTATCAATTTTTTATTCAAAAAATGAATCTCAATTTTAATGGTTTTAAATCATTCTCAGCAAAATTAATTTGACTTAATTTTCAAACTATGAAAGGATAATTCAATCGTCCATGCAACAAACCAACATAGATTCTCATTAAAGCTACGAAAGACTTTGATTACTTCTAAATAAGCATGGTAACTAAACTCTCGTTTGTGAGTACCCGTCTGATTCGACTCGATTTTTGACAAGAAAAAACACTTTGACTAGTTACACACACACACACACACACACACATATATATATAT